AAATGGCATAAGAAAGAAAAATGGTGTTATAAATTTGATTAAATTAACTAATAAATGTCCCAACCATAAATCTGCTCTCCCAGACACCATAGTGGAGAACCTTTTTGCTCCTAACTGCGAACTAGGAAGTTTTATTGACAAATAGAAGCATATCTTATTCAACTGCTCTTCTTGTAAGGCCTTATCCATTAGGAATGTGACATAAGCCATGCAAGCAACATGAACTGGTGCACCTTCACCTGTTTGGAAGATTTTTGACTTGAAGCTCATTCTGTTGTTGAGGCCAGCACTTATGTCATCACTCATCTGGTAACCAAATTAAATTAGTGAATATTCATTGGCAAGTAAAAATTTAGCTTTCGAATGTAAAAACTCATCCTTGGTGAGTGTTCTATAGACCCACCAGGATAACTGTGGCAAAGGACTGACTAGTAATGTAGGATTTTAAGCCTTGATCTGTGTACATCCAACTATGAAGCACAAAACCATAAAGAAGAGGAAATATGGCCCAAATGTATATATCCTACTATGCTATCAAGTATCACATTTTTTTTAGTTTCCTCTTATATATTTTAAAGAAGTAACCAGACATATGTCCTCTGCTTATTTGCCATTCAAGAACCAGGCAGGTGCTATAGGATATGCATAATTTTAAGACTTTGTGGTTTGGTCTATACATACAAGATATAGCCACCTCTGGTGTTCATATCATGCCTAATTTCTGTATTTATAGCCATCTGTGTCACTTGTTCTTCATCCTTAGTATCCGTAGTGCCATTAAATGTTTGATAAACTATGGTTAAGAAAAAAGAGACATTTGTTGGACTGATGCTTTAAATTAAACAAAAGGTGACATCAAGAAGAATATGTTTTTCTTTTCATAGAGTTTTTCAATCACCTTAATGAAGTAGACACAGAAATCTTTCATTATTACAAAAGATTACATTATGTTGCTGTGTAGAGGAAGTCTTCGTTATGTACGCAAAAGTGATGAATGTTGGAAATTGGTTAATGTCAACTCGAATCCATCAGAAGCATACAAGAACATCAAATGAGTTTCTGTAATAAAGAGATGGCGCTTATTTGGAACAACCAAATTAGCATGATGAGGCTGGATGAAAGGAGAGGAGGTTTGATGTATGAGGATCATTGTTCATATCAAACAATATATTTGCCAGTATGGAATGCATAATACATCTTCAAGTGCATGAGGATCTCCAAAGAGACATCATGAAATGGCTCATATTTGAATGTAAGCTTGGAACCTTGTCCTAATTTTAGGCCATCTCACTCTCTTTGGTTAGACATGTGATCTTCACAGCAGATAGGATTTCCAATATTCCAATGACATTTTTTATAATTCTGTTGGAAGGTCATCCTATGTTTATTCCAAATTGAGCAGAATTAAATGACGTTCTGATCTGAGACTGTCTGGCATTCTGTTTTACCAATTCTTATTCACATTCACTGCCATGCTCTAACATATAGCAGAATAGAGAATGGAAGAAATTATGTGCATCCAATGATGCAAATAGGTTTTCAATATAAGCAGATTTTTTTTACAGTTATGCTAATGTACAATTTATTTTTTTTTTTTTTTCTAAACACAAAACAAATTTGTCAGTGTTTCATCTTAACTAATTATATACTTTAAAATATGCCACTCACTGATAGCAAATACATACTTATAAACACATATTTTTTATTAATACATGAAAAATACTAGGAATCACTTTTTTGCATTTTGAAAGCGCATTCATTTATTTCGTTTTTGTTTATGAACACAATAATGCCTTGATATATTGTGCATGACTTTGACAGGTCTATAAAAGTAAAAGTATATCCCCTATAGCACATTAGATGGCGACATATATTTTCCATACATCCATCTCAACATTTAAAAAATCTAAATTAGAGATGGGAGGAGTTGAAGGCATGACATAAGAAGCCTAATCAAGAATTCCTAGACGATTTCATAACATTCTTTTTAATAAAATATTTTTTTTAAAAATCAGTAAAATTGTGTTACATTTATACAAACTAAAATATGAACACATTTATAGTAGATTAAACATAGTAGTGTATGTTTTAGTATCGGTTCTTGCTTTGATACACTCATAAACATTAAACATATTAATCTCATAATGAAGAGAGCTACCAGGGTGAGTAGCAAAGTATTAGCCGCCATCAAAACTTTGCCACTTAAAATGTGGGGCTATTGAAAGGCATGATAATCTCCCCATGTTCCAGCTTCCATTCTTGTCTGTTGCATAGTAAGAGGAAATGATTCCTTACAAAAGTACACTTTGAAACCTAAATTAAGAAAAATGGCATAAGAAAGATAAATGGTATTATAAATTTGATTATATTAACCAATAAGTGTCCAATCCATAATGCTCCTTTCCCACACCATAGTGCAGAAAAAGCAATTGCCAGTCTTTATGCTCCAAACTGTCATTCAAAAGAACTGTGGACCAATAAACCACTTAAATAAACCAATGCTTGCTTGTGTGTTTTTTACTTACACAACCCAATTTTAATCCCTAAATGTTGTTACAAGGTTACTTTCTCTTGGAATATATTATCGTTTGTGAAGATGAGTTTCCAGTGCCACGATGACAAAGCAGAATCTGTCACCAACGTATGATTCATTAACTTTAATTAAAAATATAATTTAGATATATTATATCAAGGATGCCTCATGCCTTAAAGTTGAAAACATCAAGGATCCCAATGCATCAGAGTAGCAGAATGTGCTATTCATTTTCCACCCTATCAAAGAAATACTACGTCAAAGGGATTTGTGGGATTAAAGTCATTTCTTGCCAATACCCCTGATATAAAACATTGAATTGATTACATCAAATCCAACCAAAAACGGAGTCACTAGACACATTGTATTAGTTACTAATATCCCAAACTTTAAAAAAAATTTGTTGATGATTACAGAATTGTGAAGATCCCGAACGCTATCTGGTTTTTAGATCACATCTCAAACTAGATTATAAACCAGTCATTTGCCTAAATTAGCAGAAATTGCTGCAGAACATTCTAAAGAATATACCAATACAGCAGAACCATTATAAAGTTATATTATGGACTCAGCATCATATGATGCCAACACAAATGTTATTCAATAAATTGGAATAGCTCTGTCATGCTAAATTCTAAGAACTATCTCTCTGTGGTATTTAAAAAAAATAAAATGGCTAAATACACCTGTAAAATGTTAAGTCCCGATAAGCAGAATGCAAAATGCATTGAATGTTTCATATGAATTCCCATTTTATAGCATACTTGAGTGAAATTATTTATTTATTTTTAAATGTTATGAGAGTTTTGCTCTACCCTCCTTCCCTCAAAAAAAGGTAAAAAAAAACAAAAACAACAAATGAAGTAATAGTTGGTCCCATAACTATCCCATAACAATATCTAGACATGCATGTAAATCACAAATATATGCATGATCTAGATCTCATTTTCATATTTGCTTACCACTTCAAGAACGACTTTTGGTCTCCCTCTGGCTGACAGGATACACAGTAGGACAGTAAGAGTAGTGGAATTGAAGGTTACATTGAATGCATTTTCCTCAAGTCAGCAATAGCCAACTATGGCTCAGGGTCTTGATTTTAACCAGTTCTCAGGACGCTATAAATAAGCCTGTGTCTAAGGATGCCTTTGATTGAACAAGATTGAGATTGACTGGGCTTCTGATTGCTTCACTTATACACAAGCAGGGATATCATTCTGTCATCAGCTGTCCGTTTAAAAAAGCGCAATTTGAGAGAAAGTGACCTAGGTTTGCTAAGTGATGAGAACATTTCTAAAAATTATCTTTATTTAATTGAACTGACTAACAGAACACCCACATCTCAGTAAAAGAAGAAAATTCCATAAACAAATAAAAGTCTTGGAATTGTATTAAGCAATTGGCATAGCAAAGGCAAAAATTTACTTTAGTCTTACGCTAAATTTGTAAATTGATTTGAAATCAGTATACTACAATTTGTAAATGTATTAATGGAAAATATCTGTTAGTGCAGTAGATTTTTAGATACAATTTTATCACACATACAACATAATATTCTTTATGTCAATTTCATTTAAGTTCAGATATTTTAAATTGTATATACTGTCACAACTTCTAATATTTTCCTGATATTTTATACACATATTGAATTGTGGCGGAGGTTTTGTGTACATAGTGTTTGTCATTGTAGAATAACGGTATTAGTCCACATTGTGGACACATGTTGGACATACAAAGACTAGTTCTCATGTTGGACATACAAAGAAGTGTGTGTCAAAATCATCTTACCCTCAAGGTCAGCACTCCATTGTTTGCAGTTACAATGAAATTGACACAAACAGATATATCTATTTAGCTACAAAAATAAGGCCTTCATTTAATATTTTCGTACGAGCTTTCCAAATGATTTAATATTGTTTGCATACATTTTTTTTTTAAATTCTTTATTTTTGGCGTGCATGAAAATATAACAAGTGGGCTCGTCATGCCCCAACAGTTTTGACAAGCATACAAACAGATAGTTAACAGTTGGTTGGCAAGTGGGATATTCTGCACAATTTTTATATAGAGTAATATTTGATTAAACTACACTGCATAAGTATACATAGGATGGCAGGTTAAATATAACTTACATTTTACTGTTGCCTTAGATTAGTTACTGCGTACTAGAAAATATGATTCAATACATGTTGATCTAATCTATAAACATAGTTAAGCATAGCATTTGTCTGAGTATACTGATGGTTAAATACATTAAGTCAGCAGGGGAATAGATGGCTAGACTGAGTGTTATAATGTAAGGTTGGCGTGGCCAGAGTCCAGCTTCAACCTATTCCCTGGCTTGGGAGGAAGCGCAGGCTGTCCATGAGTAGTGCCAGGTATGGGTCGGGTACGCAGGCCTCCCAGTTCTGGGTCGCAGCGATGACCGACATCGTGAGGCTGCATGCTCAGGCCCTCTGTCACGAGGCTAGGTCTCTGTGAGGTACGTGACAGCCGCAGCTCTTGCTGTGACGTCGCTGCCAGCGGCGGATCCCCAGCCTCTGCGGTAGCTGTTGGGCAGGTATCTTGGGCCTGCAGCCTTGCCTGGAGTGGAGCGTCTCTTCCCACTGTTCACGACTCGATACTTGTGTTCCACCCGTCGGTATGGTGGTGCTTTTCCCATGTTCACGTGAGGACGGCTCGGCTTGCTTGTTTTCGGTGTGGTGGGCTGGGCCGCCGGGTGTGCATGCAGCCTTTCGTTCAGGTCGTGCCAGAATTGGGCAAACGTAGCTTCCACACTCTGCATAATGTCGCTGTGAGCCTCCCTTGCAGATACACTGTTTGGTTCACTTGATGCTGTTGCCGCCACCATTTTGGGTGCACCATGTGCTCGGCTGCCCGTGTGCTGTGGTGTGTCGAGTTATGGTTTCAGCCCGCGACTGCGCCTCATGTCGCTTGGTGTGGACCGAGATGACCCCCGTCAGTCCAGGGGGGGAGGGATAGGCGATGTCAGCCTCGAGGGACCAGTGTCCAGGTCAGTCAGCCTGGGGAGCGGCCATCTCCGAGGCTTGGTTTTGGTGTTGGGTGAGTCCCCTGGGTGTCCCCGTCATGATGGCTTCCTTCCAGTGGGCGATTGTGCCATTTTTGCTGGGGTTTACCCCCAGAGAGTGTAGATTAGAGCAGGAGCTGAGGTTCAGCACAACTGCTCAGTCTGGATGCCAGACTCCGCCCCTCGTTTGCATACATTTTTAAAAAGATTTAATATTGTAAACAATATTTTAATATTTTGATATTTTTTATATATTAATAGGTTTTTATATATATATTTCTTTTGCCTAAAATGGTCCTAAGCTCATGGCTGCATAGTCACAAGTGGCTTCTACCTCCTTTTTAAGGATTGAAATTAAACTAGTTGATGACCAGGACTTGAACTCAATAATCTCAGGCAGACGTATGTCCATGTGCTGCTCTGGTAATCCATTTACATTTCCATAATGGGAATCAGTGGTGGAACAACAGGGTTGCAGGTGTAGCCTGGCCCTCTGTGTTTTGCTATCACTGGTAGCCTATGAGCCCAGTGACTACGTGTTAGGGTGGCCCCAGATGGCCACCTTAGGGCCCCCACAAAGTGGTTGGCAATGTGCAAATGCAGTGTAGGCACCTGCTTATCCAGGCGGTAGGTTCCTATTCTGTCCTATTCTTGTGCTGCTATTTTTGGTTTGTGTGAGAATACACTGCAATAGTAGGTGGCGCTGTGAATGTTAACCCCTTAAGGACACATGACATGTGTGAC